TAGAATCAGATTATAATATATCTGAGAATGAAAAAATTGAAAAGTTTTTTAAATATTACAAACCTGAATTTATATTACTCTAGCTGCTGCATCACGTGATTTAAAAGAAACTAATAAAAGAACTTGTATAATTGAAGCTATTTTATTCTTATAATATTACTCTTTCAGGCTATTCATTAAGCAAAAGTTATTTAAATCAAAGTGATGAATTAAATGAAGAAAATCTGATACTATATAATAATTAATAAATAAATATAATAAAAAATTGATAAAAGAATTTAAATAATTATTAATTAACATTATTGTAACTTCTAAAACTACTAATAGTAATCAAACAAATAATAATTAGTAAAATAATTTAATAATATTATGAACACTAAGAATAATAAGCAAGTATATTACAATTGTGAATAAACTGAATATCTTGCTAAAAATTGTTAATAACCTTTTAAATATTACAATTGCAAATAATATAAATATATCATATAAAATTATATTACTCAACTAAAATTTCATTGCAAATTATATAAATATTAAAGAAACTTATATTCTAATAAATCTGTTTAACTTATTAAAGATTAATAAGTAATAATCTTATAGAATACTCTAATAATATCTATTATATATTTAATCATTAAACTTTATATATATTAGCTTTTAATTTAACTATACCTATCCTTTTACTCATTCATATTTAAATTACTAATAGTATCTTTAAGGTAAAAATAATCAAAACTCCTAAAGAAATAAAAATTATATATTATTATATATTGTTAATATTACTCTTTTTGTTAAATAAGTTAACTATAATTTGAAGTCAGAAAGACAATAGTTGTAACTTAAATTTAATTAACTTGATATAATATTAATTAAGGAGTTTATTTAATTAATAAGAATAAAGTTATATATTTTATGTTTATAAAATATATTTGGAGTTTATTATTGTTAATTGTTATTAATTATATTTAATATTTAAATCTATTATTTTTTCAAAGTATTTTCATATTCTTTATATAAGAAAATATAATTAAAAAATCACTGACAATAGTTATATTTAGAATATTATTAATAATAATAATACTAACAAGGCTAATATAAATACTAATAATATTAAATATACTAACTATAAAATAAGTAACAATATGATAAAAGTAATAATGATAATAGTTATATTATATTGACAAATTTATCATTTTGATTATTTTATTAGGTTTATTCAATCTGTTAATTTCTACTGATTTTAATATATATGAACAGAAGATTTATTTTTTTATTTTTAGATTTAAGATTTACTAAAAATGTTATATCTAAATCTTTTTTGTAATAATTAGAGTAAAAAATAAAAGTGCTATCTTAAATCATTATAATAAATATCTAAGAAAAATAATTTCAACTGATAGAATAGATACATAACATTTTGATACTTATTAATAATATCAAAATACTTATGAACGTAAAAGTCACTGAATTAAATAACTATTATATTATAGCTAAAAATGACTGATTTACAAAATGTTAAGAATTTTTTTTATTATTATTTTTATATATTATTAATTAACAATTTCTTATATATTATTTTTTATAAAAAAAAAATGCTAAAAATAATTCTTTATAAAATATAAAAAAATATAATACAGAATTTCAAATAGAAAAATACATGCAAATTTTTATAGGATTATTTTATAATAATTTACTATTTTTTTGTTTTAATTTTACAATTTAATTTTTAAACTTTATGTTTCTTTATAATCTATTTTAACTTAATATTCTTGATTATAATTTAAAATTTTTAATTTAAACTTAATAATATAACATTTAAATTATTTAGATATCTTTAATTATTTTATAATAATTTATCTATTTTTATTTAATTTTGTAATTCTATTTTTAAACTTTATATTTTCTTTATAATTTATTTTAACTTTGTATTTATAGTTATAATTAAAATTAAAATTACTTATTATAAAATTATTTTATTATTTTTAAATCTTAAAAATTAAGATTTGTTAAACTTAATGATAAATTTATAAGCAAATTAGTTTAGTATATTATAATACAATTTTAAATGTAAATTACAATATTTATATAGATTTAATTGATTTCATTATTTATTATTTAAAATTCATAAATAGTTTAAAATTACTAAAGCTTAATTTATTACTTTAATAAAAGTATATGAAAAATATATTAATAAAATAAATCAAATTAAATATATATATTTAATATAAAAAAAATAAAAAATTAAAGGAGATTAAATGTATTATAAATAAAATTAATAAAAAAGATAATATAAAATTTATAAAAAAAAATAAAAGAAAAAGTTTAATTAAAAATATCATTTTAATTTTCTGATGCAATATATTAATCAATTTAATATAATATTATTTCTTTAAATAATTTTTCTTTTATATTCAAAATAAGGTTTCCGTTTGAATTGCATTTCAAATATTTGAAAGTTTTTTAAAAATAATTACAAACGAATATCGAAATGATTTTGGATATCGTCATTTCGGATTATCGAATTGATTTCGAATGCTCGAAAATCAATTCGGATACCAAATCATTTCGGATATTCGATATTGAATATACTTTTTTTTCATTCGCATTTTCCTCTTTTAGTTTTTTGGTTTTTTTCGATATTTTAAATTTTTCGATTAGGTAAGCTTTAGTTTTATTTTTTTACATTCTTTTTTTTATTTTTTTTATTTCATTTATTTTAAAATAAATAATCGATCGATAAGGTCGATCGAAATGATTGATAATCGAAATGATATCCGAATTGATTTTCGATATTCGAGTCGATCGAAATGAAATGATATCCGAATTGATTTTCGATATTCGGGTCGATCGAAATGAAATGATATCCGAATTGATTTTCGATATTCGGGTCGATCGAAATGCCGAAATGAATTTTAATCATACAAACAAATATTCGAATTTTCTATTTTCAAACGGGAAACCCTAATTCAAAATAAATAAATTAATTTTCTAATACTAATTATTTAATATTAATAATTAATAATATAATATAAATACATGGTATTTATTTAAAATAATAGGTGGTTAAATTACTATATTACATAATTTGATTTGTTATATATTTTTTATATAAATTTATAATGTTATTTATTATTTTATCATAATTTATTATTTATGTTTATTATTTAAATTAGTATAATCAAAATAAAATGATTTTGTTTTTTTGATTTATAATTTTTTTTTTTATTTTTTTTTTTATAAATTTTATATTATAATACACTCTCTTATATTCTTTAATATTTACTTATTTTATAACTTTACTATCATACAAATATAAATAATAATATTTCAGATATTTTTGATAATTATTAACAATCAAATAATGAAATAGTAGTTTTATTTCTTTAGTAACAGATGATATCAAAGTTGATGCTTTTTTCTTTACATAGAAAGATATAAAAATTAAACTTAATTAATATGTAAAATTTGTAGACTTTTCTTTAAGAAGAAAATATATTGAAGTTGATAAAGATGATAAAGTTATGTGATATAAAACTTATTAATATATTTTTCTGATAAACTAGTTTTTAATCAAATTATTTATATAATTCATTAACAGAACAAACCATCTAAAAAATTATGTATCTATAGCATATAAATTTTACTAAACCTAAATCATTAATAGAAATAGATATTACAAGTAATATTAATTAATATTATCACATTATAATAGATGACATAAATTTGTATATTTCTAAGTATTGAAAAATATAATAGAAAAAGCAAATTCTATGTTACTAAAAGAAATATGAAAGCAAAACAAATCTATCCATTATTAATTGCAAAATTTTCTGATCAGTATATTCATAAAAGAAATCTTTATAATATAATTCAAAATTTTAAATTATCACTTATTAACTGATATGAAAATGCACAAAATATTATCAATAAATTATTTTAGCTAAAATATCAAGAATTTAGATAAATTATTTATATAAGACTTAATTCTTTTAATAATTAATTTGTAGAATTTTTTCAGATATTACCTAACTAATATCAATATTTCTTACAATATAATGATATTATACAAAAAGATAATATATGTTAAACTAATTGATTTAATATGTATTTAATTTTTATAGTTATAGTTAATAATAATATTAAAAGTTATCTTATTACTTAATGTCTATTAGAAGATAAAACAATTAAAAATTATAAATAATTTCTTAGTTATCTTTTTTAAATAACTAATAATAATTCACTTTTTATTTATTCTTAGATGTTGATCTTATTTTATTAAATATAGTAAAATTATCTAAAATTCATTATTTTCATTATATTTTTTATATTCAAAATAATTTATAAAAGAATCTAGCAGGTAAATTAGAATGAGAATATTAATTATTTTATAAGAAATTTTTATATACTTAAAACAACTTATTTATGATAAATTTTATCATTATTAAACATAACTTTTTAAAATATCCTTAAGTTTAAGAATATTTTAATTATACTTTAAATAATTATTGTTAAGTATAGGTAAAATACTATTAAATTAAATATTTTACTACTAATATTTAGATACCTAAAGAGTTAAAGTCATAAATCATTTAATTAAAAAAATACTAGTAGTATTTTTTCCTTTTGTAATTTATAAGAATAAATTCAAAAGATATTAAATAATAAACTATAATAAGCTTACCATAATATATATTTATAGAGTTTTCTAATTAACTAAGCATATTAATTATTAAACTTATATTTCTTAAAGTTATTGAATTAATAAAAAAATACTTAATTTACATATGTACTTAGTTTTTTATTATATCATGTTAGAACTATTTCTAAAAATTTATTAAAATAATAAAGACATAAATTTTAAAATTTAGTGATAAGCTTTAATTATGTATTAAAAAATTATAAAATTAAAAAAATTTAAAAAAAAATATGAAAAAATTATTGATATCATAATAATTGCAAAATGATAAATTAGCTTATTAATTTTTTAAATAAGATGATGATTAATATTTCCAAACTGCTACCGCTTTCTCTAAGATTTCTATCATTAAACATTTTTCTTTTACTGATATTTCTTTTACTCGCTGATGAAATTCAGGAGTAGATTTTAAAGAAAGCTGTTTAGTTCTCCCAGTTATTTTCTTACTAGCCATATAAAGTATTTTAAACCGCTTTATTTAATTATGATAAAAGAATTATCAAAAATTAATTGAATAGATCACAATCTATTTTTTAAAAGAAATATATTTATTAGATGTTATAGAAATCTAAGAACTCTATAATATTATTAAATCTTACAAATATTATATTATTTTATTTAATGATATCTGCTTAAACTATTTTTATTATGACTAAACTTTTGTCAAATTTTATGTTTGACTAAACTTTTAACTAAAATCTAAATATTTAACTAAAATTTTAGCAAATGACTAAATAATTAAATCTAAATTGTTTTATAATATATAAATTATAAATTTTTATTTATTTATTTTTATTAAAGAATATATTATTATTTAATATTTATTAATTTAACTTAAATCTTTTATTATTAATTATTAATTAAATATATAATCAAAAAATATTGCTAATTAACATCATAAATAATAATTATTTATATAGTAAATAAAATATAATAAATAGCATTTTATTTACAAAAATTCTAAATTTTTAGAATTTATAATAAAATAAAATATTATTGAAAATTGTGAATTAAAATTCATAAAAATCCATAAAAATTCATAAAAAAACTTTGGAATTAAATTTTGACATTTTAGCTATTTATTATTAAAACTAAATAGTTTTAAATTTATCAAATGACTAAATATTTCAGTTTTATCTAGTATCATTAATTTTATTAGTAGATAATAATTATTTATGTATTTGTTTAATTATAATTAACTACGAACTTATATATTTACATTTTTTTAAGTTATAATGAATTTTAAAGTGGTTAAATTCAATAATAACTTTATTTCTAATTAGAGTTCTAAATAGGTTTGTTTAGATTAGATCAATCAAATTACCTGAATTGAGAGAATCAGAGTAGATCAAACAAAAATTTTATTTAGTTTAAATTTTTATTTGATTTGATCTAACTTAATCAAATTATTTAAAAAAAACAATAATAAATCATTCTAGTTAAATAATAAAATATCATTTAAGAATTATAATAATTGTTATTATTGAATGATAAAATATCATTCAAGAATGATAATTGGTTAACTTAAAGTTTATTTGAAATACAATGATAAAATTATTAATATAATTTATAGATTTATTGATTTAAAGAAAAATATAATTAATAATATAAATAATAAAAATAAAATATTTTATATTTTATAATTCAGAAATAATGGGAATATCTATTAAATAAATGGTTAAATCAGTTTTATTACATTATATTAACATAAAAATAGTTTAATTAATCTATTTGATCTTAATTTATATATGTAAAATGTAATATTTTTAGCATCATCTTTATCAAAAATGATTTGGTATACTTAATAATAATGCTTATATTAGTGATTTTTATACACAAAAAATATAAAATAAATGTGAATATATCAAAATAAGAAGCCTAATCTAATTATAATGCTAAGACATATAATAAAAAAAACTAATAAAATATAAGCATTAAAATTTAATTAGTATAATATTAATAAATTTTAGTTTATTGTTTTATTAAAAAAAATAATTAATAAAATAATATTTTTTTCAATTATTAAAAATATAAAAATTATATCTCTTAAAGCGTAAATATAAATTAGCTATAAAATATTATAGAAAAATTATAATATTTTAATATCTAATGATTATAAAAACATGAAATAAAGTTTATTAGATTTGTTATATTAAGATCTATCTAATGATAGTATTTTTAAATTTTTAAAATTAATAAT